TTTTAAAGAACAGGATTTATACACTGCTAGACTTGGCAAGGAAAGGGTGTTGCCATAATACTCTCTCTTCTTTGGCAAGTAAGGTCTACAGTGCCTTTTACTGTTAGAATGCACACACACCTGGCAACAGGATTAAGTCACTGCAGTATGTGTTCTCATGCCCATTTAATAGAGGAGAACATTAAGCCCTGGAGAACTTAAGAGATATGCGCTGGGTACACAGCAAACTAAGAAAAAGCCAGGTCTATAACCATATTCAAATGGGCTTGAGTTTGTGATCTGCCCACCCCACCCCCCAAATGGGCCATAGAACACCTTTTGAAATAGATGTTAAGTCACAGGGACGCTGGTTTGAAGGACTCCTTTAGGATTCGTGACAGCCTTGAGGGCTCAGGCCCCAGCAGAGGCAGCAGGAAGCAGAAGCCAGTTGGGAAGGTGGGGGCTCACCAATCTAGAAAGGCGGCAACACTAGTGACCCAAATACCGCTGCGGCGAGCATCAAAGGCCCATTAACTCAACCACACACAGTCAAATGTGGACCCAACCTTGAAAACACTGTTTCAGTGCCCGGGCCTGGAGAATTTCCATTTGTCCCTGCCAACTTAGTCCTGATTTCAGTGCAGCTTAAGCCCAGTTACTCCCAGCGTCACCCACCTGTGCTCCGTGATCCTGCTCCCTCCACACAAGGCCCGGGGGACATGGGATCTGCCTGGAGCCCTCCTTCCCTATCACACAATCCTCACCAAACCCCAGCCAGGGAGGTGAGGAGCCTCACGGGACTTCCTTACATCCGTGGCCTTGCCCTGCGGAGTCCCAGGAAGGATGGACTGTAAACTTCCATAACAATTCAGGTGGATTCCAAACTCAGAGGGGCTGGCTAGAGATGCCACACGACAGGCTGAGGGAGAATAACGACATCAGGGAAACCTACCACGGCCTCTGCCACCTAGGTCCTTCTCCTCTCGCAGCGGGGAACAGGCGGCAAGGCATTCATGCAGACGAGCTAACCCTAGGGGCTGGAGAACCTAGTGGGAGCACCTTGCTGAATCTGGTGGTGATAGCACCACCCGCAATGAGAAGCCAAGAGAAGGGGCACCGTTAGAATCAAAGCTGCAACCTCAACTCAGCTTCTAGACCAGAAAACACCCCGGGCAGGGAATTAAGAGTCTCGATAACATTTGATAATTTACAAAGAACTCATACCTGCGCTATCTCCTCTGAGGCTCAGAAAAACCCCCAGAAGGCAGGAATTATTTAATTCATTCTTTGGATGCGGCTGGGCATAGGGGAACTTGACCTTGTGAAGTGCCAACCCTGTGCCAGCTACATGTGTCAGGATGCTATGTTGATAAGTGCATGTAGCAATTACTGCTTTCTGCTGGTTTAGGGGGCAAATACCTAGAGGAGCCATTCGCAGAATAATAAAAAGTGTACTCCCCCTATCCCCAGAAAGAGCAGACATATCTTGTGACAATAAGATCTGTGCTCCCTACCCTAAGGGGGCGTTAACTGGATTTTTCTTTCTGGGAAAAGAAAAGGGGCATGGTTAGATAGGGACGGGCCTTTGTTTCAAAAACTGAGGCTGGGAGACAAGAGAGAGAGGGAGGGAGGACAAGCAGCTGTCAGGGGAGGATCCCTGAGTTGGATCCCAAGACAGGTGGGATGACTGAGGCCCTGGAGGGGCTGGCAGCCCTCACTCCACTGGAGCGCGGCGCCTGGGTGCTGTCGGGTGCTAGAGATGCTGGCCTGGGGGCCTAGCTTTCCCTGGGCAGAGCTCGCACTGGGGCACAAGCTGGCTGTGGGGACCTGCTTCCTCCAGAGAGCCACACAGATCTGGAAAGGATGGGCCAGAGGCCGTTGTCACCACCAAGGGCTGAGGTCTAGGCCTCACCCCTCCCCATTTTCCCTGATCCCCAAGCACCGCCTTCCCCATTCTCATGGCAGAGAAGGGTGGAGACTGAACTATAGAAATGCCTGCTTGGAAACTTTTGCCAAACTTAGACAGTAGGGGAACTCAAATTTGTTTTCATTTGATTTAGGAAAATAAAAAGAATTATTTCTTGACATGGAGTGTCACAGAGCAATTCTTCATTATTTTATTTAGTCCTCATAGTTACCCAGCAAGACAGAAATTATTAGTTCTGCTTTCAACGGCGCTTCTGAGGCTCAGGGAGCTTCAGGAACTGCCTGAACTGCCCCCCTGCAAGTGGCAGAGACCTGAACCCAGTTGGAGAGACCCAGAGTGAGGGCTGGTTACAGAGAACACAAGTCATCATCTAGAACAAATGATTCGAGACATCTCTTACTATTCAAGCAAACCTCCCCTGCGATCGATTACAGACGTTCCATAAGAAGGGAACAGAACAGTAAATCCTGTTATCTAGCTCAGGATACCCTTGGCCCCTGGCTGCTCCTTGGCGAGAAATTCTAAATTCTAGACCTGTGCTATCAAATACAGTGGCCACGGGCCACATGTGGCTATTGGGCGCTTGAAGTGAGGCCAGTCCAAGCTGAGATGTGCTGGGAGTGTAAAATACACTCTGGACTTCGAAGACTTTGTATGAAAAAAACGAATGTAAAATATCTCATTCATAATTTTTATACTGATTACATGTTGAAATAATATTTTAGACATACTGAATTATTAATAAATGAAACACATTATTAAAATTAATTTCACTTGCTTATTCTTACTTCTTTTAATGTGGCTACCAGCAAATTTAAAATGACACGTGTGGCTTGTATCGGGGCCACCCCACTCCAGATCACAAATCTCGCCTTGGCTTCTGCACACCCCTCGCCCTGCCCCCGCTCCCAAGAACTGCTGGAAGCCAAGGAGTCCAGACTCCCCAAGCATCCCGAGAATGTCCTCTCTTCTCAACACTTCTCTAAATTCCTGGACCGACCCCTCCTGCCTCCCACCCTCCTCTGCGCCCAGCGAGTGCCAAAGCACTCAAGTGGAGTCACCATTTCCCAGGGGTAGGATCCCCCTGAAACCGCATTTTCCGTGGCCAGAGGAATCCTGATAACCTGGTCTTCAAAGCCCAAGCCTCCAACCCTATTGGTGACCGGAGCCTTGGGAGTTAGAAAACATTTCCCCAGGCTTCCCCGCTCCCAGCCGCGCCAGACCGTGAACTCCTCCAAGAGCAGAATAATGGAAGCAAACTAAATGTATTGATCACTGATTATGGGGCCAGCTGCTGTGCTAAGTGTTTTACATGTTTTGTTTTATTTAATTCTCCCCACTAGCCTACGAGTGAGAGACTATTGTCCCCAGTTTTGGAGACAGGAACCTGAAGCTCCCAAAGGACTGGGCCTGGCTCGGTGCCCCAGACTCCCTCCCCTGGGGGCAGAGCACGGCTCATTCTCTTTGCATTTCTGGCCACCAAGCACAGTGCCCCCTGCACAAAAGATATTCAGTAAATATCGGTAAAATAGGCAAAGAATCTTCTGACAGACCCAGTCCTTGGCCCTTTCTGGCCTTGGTCAGGAGGCATGTTGCCACTTACTCTCCTGGGGCCACATACTTGATGAAAGTCCTCACCCACCCACCTGCAGGGACTGACTTTCTCTGCCCCCACCCACCCTGTTCCCATCACCTCCCACCATGACACGCCCTCAGGTCAGCCCTGCCCGGGTCCCCAGCCAAGCCTAAGATGTACAGACCACCTGCCCCACTGAGGGTGGGGTCTGGGGATAGCCCAGAGCGGCACCTCAGGGTCATATTTAGCCCTGGGCACCTGTGGAGCTGCCAGGCATAGCCAGTCCCTTACTGTCCCATGCCGGGGTCCAGGGAGCTCAAGTCTCCGTCCATTTCCTCATATAGGCAGGAGTACAGGCCTGAGCACAGCTGGTGCCTGTGTCTGACCCAAGCCCTAGAGCTGGGCTCAGCTTTCTGGATTCCTTCTTCGACTTACTCTTTCTGCCTGATTTAGAACAAGGCCACCCAGAAGTCCTCATGCTCTTCTCTTCCCCATCCCTCGGCTCTGACCCTGGGGACCCTGACACTGGCCTGCACTGGAATGAAATTTGCCACACCCTCTTGGGCCTCCTGCCCCAGACCACTGGCTCTTCTCCTCTTGCCCTGGTCAGTTTCCCAAGGCCCTAAGCTATTTTTGCTTCCACCCCAGCCTGCCGTTTTCCCCACGGTAAAGCTGCCAGGGTGGTACCCTGCATGACACACACAGCGAAGACCAGAGCAGCAGGGACAGGCCCTGCCATCGGATCAGAGCTCACCTTGGGGTCTCCAGTCCTGCTGGCCCTCGGTCTTCCTAGTCTCAAGGCCCTGCCTTCCAGGCCCTAGGGACCTGCTCGATGCCTCCTGCCTTGGCTGACTTCCCTAGATCAACTGCTAGACCCAAGGTGTCTGTGAGGCAGCCCCCTCTGTCCTCTCCAGACCCCTAATTCAGGACCTCCCCAGCCACCTTTGATCACCTGCTACTTGCCCTGGCACCCTTGAGATGGGGAGCCGCAAAGCCCTTGTTCCCTTTTTCCCAAGAAACACCGACCCACCACGACCCCCTGCCCCTGGAGATATCCGAACCAAGCCTGAAGGCTTCCCAACCGGTGAGGTCTGCAGGTCCATCCCGCACACACCGCGGACACACGATAGAGCCCCTTCGCCCCTCGCTGCCTCTGTTTCTCCACTGGCATGAACTCCCTGCTGCCCAAGGAAGCTGGCAGGGAATAATGACTCCTTGATTTGTCACTCCGAGTTCCTCAAACAAGACACGCTACATCCATAAAGGCATCGGGCCTTCCCATAAGGCATAGGAAGTGAACCCATCTGACGCTAAATCTTCCGGTGCCTGGCTCCCGCGAGCACATGGGGCAGAAACTAATAACTATAAAGCATCCATCTATCATCCGATCAGGCCTCGCTCTGCTTTGTTTGCATAGTTATCTTCCCACGGGCTGACATTTCATGTCTACTACAGGCTGATGTATTCTCCTACCTGCCGTATCAGTCATAAAGGAGAGACGAGCCTCGGGTCCATTACCTGTCATTACACCGTGCACATGTCGCCAGGGGCCAAAGCATCGATTCTTGTCGACTCTCCCCAGAGGTGCGGCCCCCACTCGGAGGCTGCAGGTCCAGTGGGCTACGGATCGTGCCCCCTCCTCAGGCCCTGGGCAGGCTCCACACCATGCCTTCTTGTCTTCTGGCTCACCCACTCCTCCGGGGCGGTAAGACCTTCCGAGCTCCCGGCTGCTTCATAGGGGACCTGCAGGAAGAACAGAAGCCTCCATCACCCACCAGGGCCAGAGACACATGTCCGGGTTTTGACTGTTCTTGAATGTTCTAGCCATCCTCTTGTTCTTTATTATCAGGTCCTTCGACTCCTGGTAACTGCACCAACTCAGTCTCATCCGGGGTTTTCACTGGCAGTGTCCTGCCCACCAACCCTGCCCCAGGCTTCGACACACACACACGTAAACACACATCCTTCATTCCTGTTTTCTTACCTCTGCATATTTCATTTTATCTTCCTGAAAGACTCACCTTCCAATCCTGCATCCAAATCCTAGCCATCATTCAGAGCTTAGCTCGGACCCACCAACAGGACCCCTCAGCTGTTCCATCGCCCCAGGAAAAAGGAAGACATGGATGTTCTCACTCCACTGATGGGATGCACAAAGAGCAAGGCTACATCACTGTGGAACATCCCTCAACTCTTCTAGCCCGGGCCCCTGAGGGGGGCTGCAGGAAAGACACCTCACCCGTGGCCGATGATGAACATCTCTCTGCAGGCCGTTGTCTCAGAGTGAGGGACAGGAACGGAGACGCCAACCCACCTGGCCCCAAGGAGCTCCTATATTTCACAGCCAAGACCGTGCCCCCCCCCTCTGTTGGGAGGGGCTGAAGCAGCCCTGCACCTCCAACCAGGCATGGCCTCCAGCTCCTATCACCCTGCGCTCCACCTGACCTTGGGCTCCTCTGGGCCTCATTGGACCTACTGCTGAGAAGGGGCTGTGGCAGATGGAGAACATCCACCAGGGCACCTGGTACTGCAGGCAAGAGGAAGCCCCAGGGACAGGGGCGAGGGTGACAAAGGAAAGGAGGGACACAGAGGCTCCTTCCTTCTGGCCTGCATGGATTTTGTAAGCATGATGACAATGTCTTACATGCCACATATATAATGATTTATACCCTTCGAGCTGCTCTTGTGTCCCTTGGATGCATTTGGTCTCTCAGTAGCTCTACGAAGGAGAGTTTCAAAGATAAGGAAACAGAAGCACAGAGAGGTTGCGATGCTTGCTAAAGATCACATAGTAAGTCAGTGAAAGAGTCAAGACTATAATTCCTGATTCCCAATTATCATTCTTTCCAGCAAGCTCCCTGGCCCTAGGATAATTTTATCTTCCTTCCAAGTCCCCCCAGGAGGGGGGAATGAGTGGTGGTGGAGGTGGGAAAGGGGAGGGAACCATGGCTGGCTTGCCCCCTGCTGTGGGGGGATGGGCGGAAAAGGAGAACAATCATGCCTTTGGTTGCTTCCCTGATAGGAGGGTCTAGGAGGAGAAAGCGCAGAGAGCAGAGTGATAAATAGGGAAGACAGGAATGTGGAGGCTCCTGGTAGTTAACGGGAGCAGCTCAGGCACAAAGGACATTGGCCGTGATAAACAGCCCCAGCTCCCGGAGGCTGGGCTGACCTTGAGCCTCCCGGCCACCTGGCCCTTACTGCTCAGGCCTCCCAGGCACTTCTGTGCAAGGCCACACCAGAGGTTAGACGCCCCTTTGAAAGAGCAAGCCATTATTACTATTACCTTCAAAAGGCACATATACATTTCATATACTCTTTTATATATGTGATATGTTGTTAAGTAATAAAAATAAAAAAACCCACAAAAGTCTACCCATACAAGGAAAGATCTCAGATGCCCCTGAACAATGGGATTCTCTGCTTGATTCCAGAGCAGCTCTGCTTCTACGGACTTGGAGGAACTCACAACCCAGGACACTCCTACCTGGCAAGGAAAGGCAGGACGCACGTGCTTCTGGAACAAGCAGCCCAGGCCAAAGGCCAGGAAACCCAGGGCAGGTGGCAAATGTATGGAGTTGGCAGAAAAATGACCCAAAATGTCAATGGCAGCCACATAGCTCAGTGCAGCCCCACACGCCCACCTCCCGTCCACAGAGGACCGGACCTCCCAGTGACAGGCTGCAGAGGAACACAAAATCGGCCCCTTGGCATCAGTGCTCTCTGTTGGGTTCTCGTTCAACCTTGGGGCTTTTAATGAGCCCTACTGTGTGCACTAGATGCCATGGGGGAGGGAGAAGAATCTGCACCTTTAGGGAGCCAGCGCCATCCCACCCATGGGCTGCTCGGCCACCCGGCTGCTGTGGCCCTGCAAACAAACAGCCAGAGAGAGCACGTGCCTTTCTGTTGGGGTGGGAGGGTGGGGACAGGAGTTCCTCCAGGCTCTCCTGCAAGGTGGGGCCGAAACATATTCACAGCAGATGGTGCTGTCGCCCTCACTCCGGGATTCTCATTCCTAATTATCTGTGCTGTCAACAAAACAATTAACCCTCAAAGAAAAATTGCACCGTCCACTCCCAACCATATGAAAAGGCAATTTTTCCCAAGGACGAGGGACACTTAGGGCAGCCCTGCGTACAGCTCCGGATCTCACCACCCATCCTCTGAGCTCGTGCTCTGCCGCAGGCCTCGCGGCAGCCCCTTCTCCTGAGACTGCGGTTCCTGGTTCCCTTTCCATAAAAGGAGGGGGAGAGTCCAATCCCTAGGGCCCCCGTCAGTCCCACGGTGCCACCATTCTGCAAGCCCATTTCTTTTCATATGAATTTTAAGTTCCTTTGGAGCAGAGACTGAGTTTCCATTTGTTCCTTCATTCATTTGCTCACTCATTTATTCATCCATCCATTCATTCATTCATTCAGTTATTTCTTATTTACCATGTTGTTCCCGGGAAACACAAAGAAAATATCTATTCGGCCTTCTTGACACTTCTTGGAGCTTTTTTCCCCCCTGAGATGTGGGGAGAGGAGGCACTGATGGGGAGGTGGGGTGGGGGGCGCCAGGGCCTGAGGACATGGCACTGGCTCCGTGCCAGGCTATAGGAGGTAGATCCCGTTGCTACACTTGGATTCTCTCTGAAGATGTGGCGGCAGGAAAGCAGCCTCCTCTCCAGAGAGCTGAATTTGGTGAGCGAGCCCCTGCAGCCCCCAGGGCAGACCTGCAGAGCGGTGGAGAGGTGGACACCCTCCCAGCCCTCACCCAGCAGCGAGATGATCTTATGCACCGCTGTAGGGCTGGCGACAGCAGAGCCGGCCCTTCGTAGGTGCTCATTAGCTATCTGAGGCACGAGTGCGTGAACAGAACGCCTCTCCTTAAAGAAACTGTTTTAAAAGAAAGGAGAGTTTTCACCGGGCTAAGGCACGATGCTCATTACCTCAGAGACTACTATTTAGAGCTGGGGTCCACTGCTCTCATTCATCCATCATCGCGCACCGCCATGGAAAAGGACGCAGGGCGAGCGAGGAACTGTGGCACTGTTCACGTCAGCGCTGAAGAGCCTTCAGAGACAGCGACCTCCAGGGTCACGGTCTGCAGGTGTGATCTGGAGAGGTGGAGGGGCTGCTCCTCCCAGAGAGGAAGAGACGGAGCGAGACCCTGCTGCAGGTGGCCTCACTGCCAGGCCTCACTCTTGTCCCCCAGACTGGGGGACTCACAAGCTGGGAAGGGGAGGGGAGCGGAGGGGAGGGAAGGGGAGGTCAGGTCCAGATCAGGGCACTGTCTGGGCCCCCGTGGGGCTGCAGGCCCCCTGCACAGGCGGGGGCAGCACCCTGGGCACCCAGGGAAGGGGCACAGAAAATGGACAGGTGGGACGGGGAGCTGGGGACCCCTCCTCGGCCACCATTTTTCCCAGTCCAAGCCTCACGGCGTCTCTCTCCCTCTCCCTATTGCCCAACCGTCTACCAGAGCTTGCGGCTGCCCGGGGCCCAGGAGCGCAGGTCCCTGTGCCAGCCCCACAGCATAGAGGGATCGTGTTTATATTCAAAGTGGGCTGCTGCCCACTCAGAATCTGCCCACTCAAAGGCAGCACATGTGACTGCACCCCCTGCCCAGAGCCCAAGTGGGACAGACGCCAACTTCTGGCTGGAGACATTTCTAAATATGAGCTTGGCACAAGGAGTCAGGTTCCCAGGCCTTCTCTGCCCTGGGAGACCCAGCCAGGATTTTCTAGGCTGCTGGGAGGGAGAGGGCTGGGGGCAGGCAGGATCCAGAGGCAGCCAGCCGAGAAGGCCGGGGAAACATCACCTAAACCCCGCCCTGGCCCTCTGGCCTCATTAGGGGAAGAGAAGGGATTACCCCCGCACTCAGAGAGTCTAATCAATTGCCCACAGCCCCTGGTAGCAAGGATAGGAAAGTCACTGCCTGCTCAAATGTGCACGGATTAAAAATATACAAATGGAATATTTTTTTCTTCCCCTCTCCTCAACCCCCTGAAGCCTGGGATGCTTGTTAAAAATAGCCTTGCTGTGGCATGGATCCTACACAACCAGCGGCTGGCAGGAAAATTAAGGAGCCAGTGGAGACAGCGCTGCTAAGTGGCTACCCCTGGGGAGTGGGATGGGGAGGGCCAGGAGGAGAGGAGGTGCCTCCGAGCATTTCCGGACACACTTCTACACTTCTGCTTGGACTTTTAACAGCAAGCAGATATTATTTTGATAAGTTCATTTAAAAAAAAAATGGAAGTTTATCCTTTGTATCCTCCAGCGTAAACGTAAGGCTGAATTTATAACAAATTAGTGACCCAGCAGCATAGGGCTGGCTGGCCTGGCAGTGCCCAGAGTACACAGGGATGCTCAGGCAGCAGGCGCAAACACAGCCCAGCACCATGAAAAGAGCACTGGATCCAAAGTCAGTCTTGGATCTGTAACTAGCTGGCTGTGAGACCTCGGATAAGTTGCTTGAGCTCTCTGGGCCTCAGTTTCCTCAATTATAAAATGAGGCAGATGGATTAAATGCAAAGTAAGGTACTTTTTAGCCCTAACATTTCATAATTTTAAGGATTGAGGAGAAATATCTAAGAGTTGCCCTGTGTTTCTCCCCACTGTAAACAGATGAGGGCAATTTGTCCCCGGGCAGAGGTGGGGGTTTTAAATCAGGGAACAGGTAGGAAGGACAGAAGCTGTTCTGAGAGGCAGAGAGGACTCCACACCTTGCTGATGACCTGTGCAAGGTGGAAAGAACATCACTTTG